TCTGTCTCTCTTTGTCTTTCTGGCGAGCTCATGCACTCTATAGCAAAAACACCTCTCCAAAAAAAAAAAAAAGAAAGAAAAAGATGGGCTAATGAGCTAAACAGACAATTCTCCAAGAAAGGTGTATGAATGACCAAAAGGTATAAGAACAAATGTTCAACATCTCCTATCATAATGAAAATGCAAGTCAAAACCACAAGGAGATACTACTTAATCTCAATCAGGATGGCTAAGATTAAAAAAATAACAACAACAACAAAAATGCTGATGAGGCTGTGGTGAAAAGGAAACCCTCCTAAACTGTTGGTGGGAATGTTAATTAGCACAATCACTATGGAGAACAATATGGTGGTTCCTCAGAAACCTGCAAATAGAATTACCATAAGGTGCAGTAGGTTCACTCTTAAGTATCTACTCAAAGGATAGGAAAACACTCAGCTGAAAAAAAAAACACTTGCACGTCCATGTTTATTGCAGCATTATTCACAATTGCTAAGATTTGGAATCAACCCAAATAAGTGTCCAAGAACAGATGTGTAGACTGAAAAATGTGGCACATGTACACTATGGGATACTACTCATCCATTAAAAAAAATGGGACCCTGAAACTTGATACAAAGTGGATAAAATGGAAAATTTAATGCTAAGCAAAGCAAACCAGACTATGAAAGACAGGCATTGTATGTCCTCACTTGGTATATACTGAACGTCTGCACTCTATAGCAGAAACTGGAAGACTGGAAGATATAATAGCAAGGAGGGCAACTCTAGATACTAGAGACAGTATAGGAGGAGGTGGGTAATAGGGAGTCAGAGAGTGGGGATCAGGGGAAAAAACAATCAAATAAAACATTTAGTAGACACAAAAATGAAAAGATCTGTTGGTGATAATGTATATGGTAATACCTTCGACTTGACTAATATGCACTGTATTCATGCTGGGAAAAACTATTGTACATTGTAAAAAATACTTTTGGAACTTAAATACACACACACGCACACACAAAATATATAGTGTAAATAAAATAAACAAACCATTGCCTAGCACCAGGTTAAGAAAAAAGAAGTTAGCATTTAATCAAATGCTACCAATTTCCCGTATAAATTCTTATATTTTTGGCTTTAGGTATCACTTCTTTATTGACCACTATTCATGTAACAGCAGTTTGGGGAGGAGGAGGTGGGGCCTTGGAAAGATTGCATAGGAAAACCACTAACTGCTCAGTCCAGGAGTGGTAATAGTGTCCATGTTCCTGCCCGATAGGAAGAATTCATTTTCAGCATGGATGCCCACCAACAAGTGATGACTTCTGCCTAAGGAGTTTAAGCCTCATTTCCCCTCACACATCACACAAGGATTAGAGCAAGGATGAGCAGAATGACTGTGCCTCCCAATCAGGCAGAAAGAAAAACCATTGCTAGGAGAGAGAATGGGACAGGAAGCTGGCAACTTGCAGTGCATACTGTAGGAAAGTAAATCTCCCTTAGCACACTGTGATAAAGGCTCAGCACTTAACTGGAACACTGAATAAATGAATGACAAGAGAGAGAATTCTTCACAAACCTGAGGAAATTATATCCTACAGACCCATGTGCAATAAGAATATGGGACTTATAGAACTAGACTAAATGAGAAAATAGGAGTATAAGCTAGTCTGCTCTATTTTCTCAGAGCCAAGGAATTTCAGTGGTTCTTGGCCAGGGTAAATCACAGTTAGTATTTTCTTCAGATTTGGTGGCATAGTTTATGCCTAGGTCAGCAGTATGGCAAATGACATGTATTCTCAGTTCAGAGAATGGGTTCAATCATTCTCAAACTAACTTCAAACTATCTCTGAAATGTCCCAGTTAAAGAAGTAACCCAGTTGCCATAGACAGATTTCTGCACTGAATGAAGACAATCCAGACTTTGTTGTCAATATTCTGATGCCCAAGGTAAAACAGATGGAATAACCAGTCATTCTACCTCCTTAAAGAATATCCTCTTAGCTAGAATTGCATCTGTTAAGACATGATACCCACCATGTTAGCAATGGCAAGGAGGAATAAATAAGGTGAAAATATATATCAACTGAGAAATGTGGAAAACCCAACTAAGTTTAGATTAAAAATTTCCTTTTCAATGATACATGTGTTCTTGGTTGTAATTTTATATGCATAAGAAGGTCCTATTCCCTGAAGGAGCTTGTACCTCATGAATATGACAAGAAGAAATGCCAGTACATCAGTGGGGAAGCAGTATGGTTTTTGCCCTCACCTGAACACATCTGAAAACCTGAACCACATTTTAACACCATAGCTCACCCACTGAGACCTGTAAGACTTGCCCAATGTCACGTAGCAAGTCTGTCAGAGCCAAGACTCAAACACAGGTCTCTTGATCTCTCAGACAGTAGTGCTTCTGGTATATTACAATGCCTGAACTAGACTTGGGAAAAAGGTGACCTCAGGGCCAATTCGATGGCTCAGTGGTAATGCACTGCTTAAGAGAACCTGGATCCCACATGGTGACCATGGTTCAAATCCCCAGCCAGATCAACCTGAAACATGTGAGGCACACATTTGAGTGTCCAACATCTAATGGGCTGGAGGACTAGAAGAAGGCTATCACAGTATGACCAGATTCCACAGAGAGTGCTCATCCCCTTCTCTCTCTCTCTCTCTCTCTCTTTCTCTCTCTCTCTCTCTCATGTGCACCCCAAGGGGGATGTCCATGCTATAATCCCTTCTCTTCCATTCTCCTCTAGGACTTTGGGTACCCAGGCATATGCACCCGGCATGAGTTTTAAGCTGCTGGGTGTGGGATCTGTACTGCAGTTGACCATGTGGGAGTCCAGCAACATAACCATTATGCCATCTGCTGGTCCCAACAAGTTTCTCTTTTTCTTCTAAGCCAGAAGAATGGGTTGGGGAGCAAAATGAAAGAGTTTCTCTCTCTTCTCACTCACTTATTCAATGTCCTCTACTTCTGTGTTTTGCAACATGGTGTGCATAGCAAGAGATTTGAGTTCAGATTCATGAAGATGAGTTTCTCCTTTTCCAGAGTTGAGGTTTTCTATGATCCAAAAAGTATTCAGATATTTGGCTACTGTGCATCTAGACCTGTCTACATACTCAATGTGTGGAAGCTGAGAAGCAAACTGAGAAATTCAGGTAAAAGAAAAAAAAAAAGAAGGAAAAAAAAGAAACAAAGGGGAAAAGACAAAAAAGAAAAATATATATAAAGGAAAAAAATGTTAATAAAGACAAAAAGTAAACATGTGGAGCACTTACAAAAGAAGCAGGGTCAGGCCCATCTTATATGAAAACTGATTCTGAAATTAGCAAGATAAAGGAGAGGTCAGAGACAAGAGCCAGGACTTACAGATTTTTTAAAACAACAACAAAATATATATATACATATATATATAAAAGAAAAATTTCTAGGAGAGATAGACAGAGACAGAAAGAACACAGAGATTGTCCTACCTCACTTGGGT